TGGTACCTAGGCATCCCCAATTTTTTTTCATATGGCACACAGTGAGTGCACACACCCATTCTCTCATGTCTAGGTGACTGAGGCTTATCGTGGCAATGTTGAATGGCTGACAAAGGAAACGTATATATATGTTTGGGGAGCTACGCGAGAGCATATATATATACGTTTGGACCGTTTAAGGGTTAAACCAAAAACACGGTCTAAGTTTTTTTTTCTCATTATGCACTGTGTGCTGCAGGATTTTTTTTACACTGTACACACTGACCACATAGACCCATTCTTTCATATGTAGGCCTACCAGCTTTCTCTCGCTAGATCTGAAGGCACTAGAATTTAGGCGTACTAGTATGTCAATAACCCTGGTGCATAAGCCATACTAGTACGTCGGAAACCCTGAAAGGGTTAAATATCATATAAAACGTTAATATAGACATTTTGCTTATTTTTTTTTTTTTTATTATCACACTGGCCGATTCCCACCAAGGCAGGGTGGCCCGAAAAAGAAAAACTTTCACCATCATTCACTCCATCACTGTCTTGGCAGAAGGGTGCTTTACACTACAGTTTTTAAACTGCAACATTAACACCCCTCCTTCAGAGTGCAGGCACTGAACTTCCCATCTCCAGGACTCAAGTCTGGCCTGCCGGTTTCCCTAACCCCTTCATAAATGTTACTTTGCTCACACTCCAACAGCACGTCAAGTATTAAAAACCATTTGTCTCCATTCACTCCTATCAAACACGCTCACACATGCCTGCTGGAAGTCCAAGCCCCTCGCACACAAAACCTCCTTTACCCCCTCCCTCCAACCTTTCCTAGGCCGACCCCTACCCCGCCTTCCTTCCACTACAGACTGATACACTCTTGAAGTCACTCTGTTTCGCTCCATTCTCTCTACATGTGCAAACCACCTCAACAACCCTTCCTCAGCCCTCTGGACAACAGTTTTGGTAATCCCGCACCTCCTCCTAACTTCCAAACTACGAATTCTCTGCATTATATTCACACCACACATTACTCTCAGACATGACATCTCCACTGCCTCCAGCCTTCTCCTCACTGCAACATTCATCACCCATGCTTCACACCCATATAAGAGCGTTGGTAAAACTATACTCTCATACATTCCCCTCTTTGCCTCCAAGGACAAAGTTCTTTGTCTCCACAGACTCCTAAGTGCACCACTCACCCTTTTCCCCTCATCAATTCTATGATTCACCTCATCTTTCATAGACCCATCCGCTGACACGTCCACTCACAAATATCTGAATACATTCACATCCTCCATACTCTCTCCCTCCAATCTGATATCCAATCTTTCATCACCTAATCTTTTTGTTATCCTCATAACCTTACTCTTTCCTGTATTCACTTTTAATTTTCTTCTTTTGCACACCCTACCAAATTCATCCACCAATCTCTGCAACTTCTCTTCAGAATCTCCCAAGAGCACAGTGTCATCAGCAAAGAGCAACTGTGACAACTCCCACTTTATGTGTGATTCTTTATCTTTTAACTCCACGCCTCTTGCCAAGACACTCGCATTTACTTCTCTTACAACCCCATCTATAAATATATTAAACAACCACGGTGACATCACACATCCATGTCTAAGGCCTACTTTTATTGGGAAATAATTTCCCTCTTTCCTACATACTCTAACTTGAGCCTCACTATCCTCGTAAAAACTCTTCACTGCTTTCAGTAACCTACCTCCTACACCATACACCTGCAACATCTGCCACATTGCCCCCCTATCCACCCTGTCATATGCCTTTTCCAAATCCATAAATGCCACAAAGACCTCTTTAGCCTTATCTAAATACTGTTCACTTATATGTTTCACTGTAAACACCTGGTGCACACACCCCTACCTTTCCTAAAGCCTCCTTGTTCATCTGCTATCCTATTCTCCGTCTTACTCTTAATTCCTTCAATAATAACTCTACCATACACTTTACCAAGTATACTCAACAGACTTATCCCCCTATAATTTTTGCACTCTCTTTTGTCCCCTTTGCCTTTATACAAAGGAACTATGCATGCTCTCTGCCAATCCCTAGGTACCTTACCCTCTTCCATACATTTATTAAATAATTGTACCAACCACTCCAAAACTATATCCCCACCTGCTTTTAACATTTCTATCTTTATCTCATCAATCCCGGCTGCCTTACCCCCTTTCATTTTATCTACTGCCTCACGAACTTCCCCCACACTCACAACTGGCTCTTCCTCACTCCTACAAGATGTTATTCCTCCTTGCCCTATACACGAAATCACACCTTCCCTATCTTCATCAACATTTAACAATTCCTCAAAATATTCCCTCCATCTTCCCAATACCTCTAACTCTCCATTTAATAACTCTCCTCTTCTATTTTTAACTGACAAATCCATTTGTTCTCTAGGCTTCCTTAACTTGTTAATCTCACTCCAAAACTTTTTCTTATTTTCAACAAAATTTGTTGATAACATCTCACCCACTCTCTCATTTGCTCTCTTTTTACATTGCTTCACCACTCTCTTAACCTCTCTCTTTTTCTCCATATACTCTTCCCTCCTTGCATCACTTCTACTTTGTAAAAACTTCTCATATGCTAACTTTTTCTCCCTTACTAATCTCTTTACATCATCATTCCACCAATCGCTCCTCTTCCCTCCCGCACCCACTTTCCTGTAACCACAAACTTTTGCTGAACACTCTAACACTACATTTTTAAACCTACCCCATACCTCTTCGACCCCATTGCCTATGCTCTCATTAGCCCATCTATCCTCCAATAGCTGTTTATATCTTACCCTAACTGCCTCCTCTTTTAGTTTATAAACCTTCACCTCTCTCTTCCCTGATGCTTCTATTCTTCTTGTATCCCATCTACCTTTTACTCTCAGTGTAGCTACAACTAGAAAGTGATCTGATATATCTGTGGCCCCTCTATAAACATGTACATCCTGAAGTCTACTCAACAGTCTTTTATCTACCAATACATAATCCAACAAACTACTGTCATTTTGCCCTACATCATATCTTGTATACTTATTTATCCTCTTTTTCTTAAAATATGTATTATCTATAACTAAACCCCTTTCTATACAAAGTTCAATCAACGGGCTCCCATTATCATTTACACCTGGCACCCCAAACTTACCTACCACACCCTCTCTAAAAGTTTCTCCTACTTTAGTATTCAGGTCCCCTACCACAATTACTCTCTCACTTGGTTCAAAGGCTCCTATACATTCACTTAACATCTCCCAAAATCTCTCTCTCTCCTCTACATTCCTCTCTTCTCCAGGTGCATACACGCTTATTATGACCCACTTTTCGCATCCAACCTTTACTTTAATCCACATAATTCTTGAATTTACACATTCATATTCTCTTTTCTCCTTCCATAACTGATCCTTCAACATTACTGCTACCCCTTTCCGTTGCTCTAACTCTCTCAGATACTCCAGATTTAATCCCATTTATTACCCCCCACCGAAATTCCCCTACCCCCTTCAGCACTCCGCACTACATCCACGCACATTCAAGCATCCCAGTTTTATAAAGTTTTTCTTCTTCTCTTTTTTAGTAAATGTCTACAGGAGAAGGGGTTACTAGCCCATTGCTCCCGGCATTTTAGTCGCCTCATACGACACACATGGCTTATGGAGGAAAGATTCTTTTCCACTTCCCCATGGACAATAGAAGAAATAAAGAAGAACAAGAGCTATTTAGAAAAAGGAGAAAAACCTAGATGTATGTATATATATATGCATGTGTGTCTGTGAAGTGTGACCAAAGTGTAAGTAGGAGTAGCAAGATATCCCTGTTATCTAGCGTGTTTATGAGATAGAAAAAGAAACCAGCAATCCTACCATCATGCAAAACAGTTACAGGTTTCTGTTTCACAGTCATCTGGCAGGACGGTAGTACTTCCCTGGGTGGTTGCTGTCTACCAACCTATCTAAATACACCCCACAGTAGAATAAATTAACATAAATATGAGATGTGGTCTCCATGGGGAAGTGGAACAGAATTCTTCCTCTGTAAGCCATGCGTGTCGTAAGAGGCGACTGAAATGCCGGGAGAAAGGGGCTGGTAACCCCTTCTCCTGTATATATTACCAAATTTGAAAGGAGAAACTTTCGTTTTTCCTTTTGGGCCACCCCACCTCGGTGGGATATGGCCGGTGTGTTGAAAGACAGAAAGATGAGATGTGGTAGCCAGGTGACTTGTAGGACTTGTGGTAGCCGGGTGACTTGTAGGACTTGTGGTAGCCAGGCAACTTGTAGGACTTGTGGTAGCCAGGCAACTTGTAGGACTTGTGGTAGCCAGGCAACTTGTGGTAGCCAGGCAACTTGTGGTAGCCAGGCAACTTGTGGTAGCCAGGCAACTTGTGGCAGCCAGGCAACTTGTGGTAGCCAGGCAACTTATGGCAGCCTATGAGAGAAGATGTGGGTTCTTTTCTTTCAATTCTCTAGCAGTTATCTTAGGTGTACTCTCTAACTGCTTCTTTAACACAGTCAAGGTACGAACAGATGTCTTCTTCGAGGGGCCTGGCCGAGGTTTGGCAGACTGTAACTCAACATTGCCACCAGCCTTGAAATGCTGCACCCAGTTCCTCACTGAACGCTCACACACACCAACATTCTTCACTATTTCTTTTGTCTGGTGCCCAGCTTTGTGAAGCCCAATGATTTGAGCTATAGTTTCAGGTGTTAAAGACTTCCTTTTACCCATATTCAAACATGTATAGCCCCAAAACCCAAGGGAACACTGGATAAAAGATGGGGTGGATGAGAGAAAAGTGCAACACTTCCTCTCACCACGGTAGCCACGTGAGGACTGAGGAGTCACTGTGGAGTGTGGTGACAGGCCTTGACGTCACGCTAACAGCTGCTACTTGGCATAATGCCGTGACTAGCACTGTAATACTTATGCATGTGCTAAGGATGCTCAGTCAGATAATCAACTTAATGATAATTAATACAAATGATTTTATCCTACCTGAGCAAGGTCCAGATATGTACAGGGGAAGAGCGTGTACAAGTAAGCTTAGTGTACAACCCACTACATCTTGATGTAGAAGACCATATATTAAATCCATGCCTCGTGTCAGATCAGAATGAAACACACTGTGCATGCCAACCTGTTAATTACAGCTCAATTAATTACAGCTGACTAAACAAGTTAGAACAAGTCATAATTATATTTAAAAAAATTAACTTAGGTTTGCTGTACCTGTTGGATCCTTCTGGGGTATGCATTTCAAAATCATTTTAAATAAATTAATCATTATAAATACTAAGTTTTATTTCTCCATGTACAATGGTAATTAATTTAAGGTTATAAATGGATCAGGACAATTAGGCTTTTTACAGTAGAAACATTCAGTCCTAGGCTTTGAAACAAAAATTACCAGGTAAGAATTCTTCTAAAATCTATATATTTTCTCCAGACTAATGCTTCTATTAAAACAAATTCATAAAATAAAGTATGATGAAAATACAAACACATCATTATACTAACTTTCATGAGATCACAAACAAACCATCGAGTTCCACCTAGCCGGAGAAGATCCCTGAAAGTGGCCAAAGCCTGGTGGGTAATGATGCCACTGGGGAATACCTGGTTCCATGTTTCTCTTAGAAGGTGAGAGAGTGGCTCTTGGGAGGACAAGAGAGACACTGATTTAGCCTCTCCTGGACTAGCATTTCCACTTCTATGGATAAGAAAGAGTGTTAAAGTAAATATTCCAAGTTCTCACTATAAATATTCTTTTCCATTTAAAAAAATGGAATCAACTAACTTATCATAACAAATTTTTTAAGCAAAAAATGTAATACTGTAGAACAAAAATCCCATGCTCATTATGGAGTGCAAGCTTCCTCCCTCATTTCCAAATTTATTTTGAAGTTATCAGCACCTTTTTTTTATAGGTAGTAGGTTGGTAGACAGCAACCGCCCAGGGAGGTACTACCGTCCTGCCAAGTGAGTGTAAAACGAAAGCCTGTAATTGTTTTACATGATGGTAGAATTGCTGGTGTCCTTTTTTCTGTCTCATGAACATGCAAGATTTCAGGTACGTCTTGCTACTTCTACTTACACTTAGGTCACACTACACATACATGTACAAGCACATATATACACACCCCTCTGGGTTTTCTTCTATTTTCTTTCTAGTTCTTATTCTTGTTTATTTCCTCTTATCTCCATGGGGAAGTGGAACAGAATTCTTCCTCCGTAAGCCATGCGTGTTGTAAGAGGCGACTAAAATGCCGGGAGCAAGGGGCTAGTAACCTCTTCTCCTGTATATATTACTAAATGTAAAAGGAGAAACTTTCGTTTTTCCTTTTGGGCCACCCCGCCTCGGTGGGATACGGCCGGTGTGTTGAAAGAAAGATCAGCACCTTTTTCATCAGCCATCTTCAAAGGATTGCAATAATTTTTGCAAGGTAAGATCACTGGGTAAAACCACTAGTTGGAATTTAAAACTACACAAATGTGGCTATACAGTCCATATACACAAACTCTTTCATGCTTTTCACCCTCCTCTTCCAATTTATCCTTGTCACTTTAAATCATACCATGAGCGGGGCTTGAACCCAAGGTTAGAGTCGTAAAACTCCAGACCAACGTGTTAGCCACTAGGCCAGCTGGCTACAATAGGATTCATCCAATTAGGTATATTTATACACCATGGGAAGGTTAGTATAGGCACCACTGTGACCACAAATGCAAGTTTTTACAGATGAATCTCCTGCCAGCATGGCCATGACGAACTCTAGTTCAAGTGCCCTCAAAGCCATCATCACAACTCATGAAATCATGACTCACGAAATTGTTAGTCATGATGACAGCTTTGATGGGACTTGAGCTAGAGTTCGTCACTGCCATGCTGGCAGGAGATTTGTCTGTAAAAACTTGCATTTGTGGTCACAGTGGTGCCTATGCTAACCTTCCAATGGTGTATAAATATACCTAGTTGAATGAATCTTATTGTAGCCAGCTGGCCCAGTGGCTAACACATCAGTCTGGAGTTTTACGACTCTATAACTGCGAGTTCAAGCTCTGTCCATGGTATGGTTTGTTTGCAATCGTGTCATTACGACTTCGTGAGCCTTGTCACATTAATCCTTTTATATTTATACTGTAATTACTAAACGAAGAAAAAGAAATACACGTATCAGTTGTTGTGTTTTCAAACAATAAATACAACATGTTGCACTCTAAATAAATTATGTCTATTGCGTGGGTGGAATAATATAATGTAAGTTGAGTATATTAGAAACATGGTAACAAAACAATTCAGCAAATTTAAACAGTCCAAAATAATAAATAAGCTTTCCAGATGGTTTTGCTTATCAACACATAAAGGTATGAATTTTCCTCAACAAAAGAAGAAAGATGGCAACCGTGTTGAAGCCTATTGTACTTTTCATATACAGTGGAACCCTGAGTATCGGCTGCTGCGTTTATCAGCCGAACTGTATTTAGGACGGTTTCTGGGCCGAAATTTTGCTCCGTAATTCAGCCGGTGCCTCATAAATCAGCCGTATGCGACAGCCCGCCTCCCGCTGGGATGCCGCTGCATAGGCGAGTCTGTCTCCCTGTGTCTCTCGGTGAATGAGCATATATTCCGGGCATTCCTCCAAACATTTCCTTAATATCCATTGGTTTTTGTGCTTGTTTATTAAGTGCGACTATGAAATAAGCCACCATGGGCCCAAAGAAAGTTCCTAGTAAAGTTATTTTGGTAAAGAAAGTGAGAAACACGATGGAATTTAAGAAAGAAGTTATTGAAAAATATGAGTGTGGTGTTTGTGTGCTAGAACTTGCCAGGATGTATGGGAAATCTAAATCAACAATCACTTCCATCCTGGCAAAGAAAGTAGAAATCAAGGAAGCTAATGTTGTGAAAGGGAGTTTAGCAGGGAGGCAGGACCCCAGTGGAAATAAGTCACACTGTCTGACTTTTTTGGGTTATCCTAGGTTCTTTACACATATGCTGTGGAAGGGAGGCAGGGAGTGTAGCATGGAGGGAGGAAGTGTAGCAGGGAGGCAGGGAGTGTAGCAGGGAGGCAGGGAGTGTTAACAAGCAGACAGGGAGTGTAGCAGGGAGGGATGGAGTGTAGCAGGGAGGGAGGGAGTGTAGCAGGGAGGGAGGGAGTATAGCAGGGAGGGAGGGAGTGTAGCAGGGAGGCAGAGAATATAACAGGCAGGCAGGGAGTGTAGTAAGGAGGGAGTGTAGCAGGGAGGCAGGGAGTGTAGCAGGGAGGCAGGGAGTGTGGAAGGGAGGCAGGGAGTGTAACAGACAGGCAGGAAATGTAGCAGGCATGCAGGGAGTGTATCAGGCATGCAGGGAGTGTAGCAGGCATGCAGGGAGTGTAGCAGGCATGCAGGTAGTGTAGCAGGCATGCAGGGAGTGTAGCAGGCAGGTAGGGAAGTAACCCCAGAGAGGGCTTTGATACCTTAGGTCCTTATAGAGGGGAATTCCCCTTCCAACCAATAATCAGTCCTCGCTCTCTCCTCCTCCCTATCTTCCATAAGCCAACAGGAGTTTTCAATAATTGTATGTAATAGTGATTTAAATGTTCATTTATTTATTTTATTTAATTCTCATTGTTTTGTGTATGTAAAACTATAATTAATCTTTAAAAAATGTATTTTTTGTTAATATTTTTGGGTGTATGGAATGGATTAATTGTATTTACATTAATTCTTATTGGAAATATTGCTTCAAATTTAGGCCTTTTCAAATTTAGGCCGACCTTCTGGAACAGATTACGGCCGATATTCGGGGTTCCACTGTACTACATAACAGTCATAGTTAGAATCAATTTCAGTCTTATGAAGGAGATTTACACTTTCATATACAGTATGACCTTTTTTATACAGTCTCTCCTCACTTAACGACAGAGTTCCGTTCCTAAGACCACATCGGTGAACGAATTCGTCGTTAAATATGGAGCATACTATAATGGTGGTGGGTTTGTGTCAACCATCTTTGATATTGTTTTTATGTCACTTTTGCACCATTTATAACATTTTTAGTATATTTTTAAATGTTTATGCAGTAGTGTACTGTATATTGTAATAAACAGAATAGAGGAAATCAACTTTAATATACATTATTTAGGTATGTATACTGGTCAGAGAGCCTGTCATAAGTCTGAGTCATCGGTAAACGAGTATGTCACTAAGAGAAGAGAGGCTGTACTATGCATGAACCTACCTATTACTGTTTGGAGAGTTTGATGATGAATAGACTCCCCCTTTCATCACCTGAACCATATTCTCCACAATTTGCACCATCAGAGTTGACCTGAACACAGAATAAATACAGGTTAATATTAGCACATACTATTTATATAAAAGCCCCGCCAGGATATGGCCGGTTTGTTCAAAGAAGATCTATATAAAAAAAGTGGAACAGAATTCTTTATCCACAAGCCAAGCATGTAGTAAGAGGTGACTAAAATGCCGGGAGAAAGGGACTGGTAACCCCTTCTCCTGTATATATTACTAAATTTAAAAGGAGAAACTTTAGTTTTTCCATTTGGGCCACCCTGCCTTGGTGGGATACGGCTGGTTGTTCAAAAAAGATGATCTATACAAAAAATTCATGCTGCTTATGTAAGAAAATCCAACATGATTAAATTTAATTTAATATCTTTATTCAGTCTGCTCAAATGCATCCTAGCAATCACACACATAACAGCATTCATGTTTGCATCACAGTATTCAAATCAATATTCCCTTCACAACACACTAACATTTACATCCCATCAACATTCACATCACACCAACATTTGCATCACACCAATTAATACAGTTCTTGAAGACTTTTTTTTTGATCACATCAGCCATTTTCCACTGAGGCAGAGTTACCCAAAAAGAAAGATTTAGAGATTTTAGATTTTGCCATCCTGTGAAGGGTAGCGCAAGATGCATATGGATGCACAGAATGCCTAGGAACTAAGCCCCACAAAAAGAGAGAAAAACCCAAAAAGAAATTAAAAAAAACTTTTGTCATCATTCAACACTTTCACCATCACTCATACATAATCACTGTCTTTGTAGAGGCGCTCAGATACGACAGCTTAGACGTTCTTCCAAACTGCAAATATCCCAAACCCTTCCTTCAAAGTGCAGGAACTGTACTTCCCATTTCCAGGACTCAAGTCTGGCTAACCAGTTTCCCTGAATCCCTTCACAAAATATTACACTGCTCACACTCTAACAGCTCATCAGGTGCTAAAAACCATTCGTCTCCATTCACTCCTAACATAATCACGCACGCTTGCTGGAAGTCCAAGCCCCTCGTACACAAAACCTCCTTTACCCCCTCCCTCCAACCTTTTCAGGAGACTCCTACCCCACCTTCCTTTCCCTACAGATTTATACGCTAAGTCATTCTACTTTGTTCCATTCTCTCTAAATGACCAAACTACCTCAACAACCCCTCTTCAGCCCTCTGAATATTTTTAATAACTCCACACTTCCTCCTAATTTCCACATTATGAGTTCTCTGCATAATATTTACACCACACATTGCCCTTAGACACGACATCTCCACTGCCTCCAGCTGCCTCCTCGCTGCAGCATTCACAACCCAAGCTTCACACCCATATAAGAGTGTTGGTACATTGTTTTCTTTGCTTCCATTGATAATGCTCTTTGTTTCCACAGATACCTCAATGCACCACTCACCTTTTTTTTCCTTCATCAATTCTATGGTTAACCTCATCCTTCATAAATCCATCCGCTGACATGACAACTCCCAAGTATCTGAAAACATTCACTTCTTCCATACTCCTTCCCTCCTATGTGATATCCAATTTTCCTTTATCTAAATTATCTGATGCCCTCATCACCTTACTCTTATCTATGTTCACTGTCAACCTTTACACACCCTCCCAAACTCATCTACTAACCTTTGCAACTTTTCTTTAGAATCCCCCAAAAGCACAGTATCATCAGCAAAAAGTAACTGTGTCAATTCCCAATTTGTATTTGATTTCCCATAATTTAATCCCACCCCTCTCCCAACACCCTAGCATTTACTTCTTTTACAACCCCATCTATAAATATGTTACACAACCAAGATGACATCACACATCCCTGTCTAAGACCTACTTTTACTGGGAAGTAGTCTCCCTCTCTTCTACACACCCTAACCTGAGCCTCATTATCTTCATAAAAACTCTTTACAGCATTTAGTAACTTACCACCTATTCCATACACTTGCAACATCTGCCACATTGTTTCCCTATCCACTCTTATCAAATCTTTTCTAAATCCATAATTGCAATGAAAACTTCCCTGCCTTTATCTATATACAGCGGAACCTCCACCTGCGAGCACATCCACGTACGAGTTTTTCCAAATACGAGAAGTCGCTTGGTCGATTTTTTGCTTCCATACGCGAGCGAAATTTCCATAAGCGAGCAGGCCTCAAGGGAAGTTCCTTGATTCTGGTGTGGGACCTAGCTCTTGATCTAGGGAATTGAATCTCATTTGTTTGTTGGACTATCTTATTGAAACTTGGACAATGTATGATGGAAAGATGCCTCTTAACATACACCAAAAATAAAAGAAATCGGACCATAAATAATGGAGTTCACTTCTCAGCCATTAGCCGCCCCTTAGCAGTATTTTCGTATGGTTTTTATGGTTGTATTCTCGGTTTTTTTTGGTCTCAACTGATAGAATGGAAGATATATAACAGAAATAGATAGGATTTTGATTGGCTTCACAATGAAAAGTACCTTGAAATTGAGCTCAAAGTAGCAGACATGTTCGATTCTTTGGTGATGTCCATTCCAATACGCAGTCATGAATGAGCTGACATTATTTATACAATTATTACAATAATTCAGTAGTCTGCATAACAGTAAATCTTCTGTTTTTTGTGTGAATAAAAACTACAAATTATTTACATTGTAATAATAATAATAATAATAATAATAATAATAAGGTAGTAGGTTGGTAGACAGCAACCACCCAGGGAGGTACTACCATTCTGCCAAGTGAGTGCAAAACGAAAGCCTGTAATTGTTTTACATGATGGTAGGATTGCTGGAGTCTTTTGTCTGTCCCATAAATATGCAAGATGACAGGTACGTCTTGCTACTTCTACTTAAACTTAGGTCACACTAAACATACATGTACACGTTTATTTATACACACTCATCTGAGTTTTCTTTGATTTTATCTTAGTTCTTGTTCTAATTACTTTTCCTTTTATATCCATGGGGAAGTGGAATAAAAATCTTTCCTCCGTAAGCCATGCGTGTTGTAAAAGTCAACTAAAATGCTGGAACAATGGGTTAGTAACCTCTTTTCCTGTAATAATTACTAAAAAGAATAAGAAGAAAACTGTCAAAGTGGGAAGTCTGAATGTGCGTGGAAGTTGTGCGAATGATAAGAAAGAGATGATTGTGGATGTTATAAATGAGAAGTAGCTGGATATCCTGGCTTTAAGTGAAACAAAGCTGAAGTGGGTGAGTGAGTTTCAGTGGAGAAGAATAAATGGGATTAGGTCAGGGGTTTCTAATAGAGTTAGAGCTAAAGAAGGAGTAGCAATAATGTTGACGGATAAGCAATGGCAGGAAAAGAGGGACTATAAATGTATTAATTCAAGGATTATGTGGAGTAAAATAAAGGTTGGATGTGAGAAGTGGGTTATAGTAAGCGTATATGCACCTGGGAAAGAGGAGGAGAGGAGGAGAGGAGAGAGAGAGATTTTGGGAAATGTTGAGTAATTGTATGGGGAGTTTTGAACCAAGTGTGAGAGTACTTGTGGCTGGGGATTTTATTGCTAAAGTGGTAAAAAATATTGTGGAGGGAGTAGTAGGTAAATTTGGGGTACCAGGGGTAAATGAAAATGGGGAGCCTTTAATTGATCTATATGTAGAAAGAGGTTTGGTAATAAGTAATACATATTTTATGAAAAAGAGGATAAATGAATATACAAGGTATGCTGTAGCACGTAATGAAAGTAGTTTGTTAGATTATGTATTGGTGGATAAAAGGTTGATGGGTAGGCTCCAGGATGTACACGTTTATAGAGGGGCAACTGATATATCGGATCATTATCTAGTTGTAGCTACAGTTAGAGTAAGAGGTAGATGGGATAAGAGGAAAATGGCAACAAGAAGCAAGAGGGAGGTGAAAGTGTATAAACTAAGGGAGCAGGAAGTTCGGGTGAAATATAAGCAACTATTGGCAGAAAGGTGGGCTGGTGCAGGTATGAGTAGTGGGGGGGTTGAAGAGGGTTAGAATAGTTTTAAAAATGCAGTATTATAATGTGGGGCAGAAGCTTGTGGTTATAGGAAGGTGGGTGCAGGAGGTAAGAGGAGTGATTGGTGGAATGATGAAGTAAAGGGTATGATAAAAGAGAAAAAGGTAGCTTATGAGAGGTATTTACAAAGCAGAAGTGTTATAAGAAGAGTAGAGTATATGGAGAGTAAAAGAAAGGTGAAGAGACTGGTGAGAGAGTGCAAAAGGAGAGCGGATGACAGAGTGGGAGAGGTACTGTCAAGGAATTTTAATGAAAATAAAAAAAATTTTGGAGTTAAACAAGTTAAGAAAGCCTAGGGAACAAATGGATTTATCAGTTAAAAACAGAGTAGGAGAGTTAGTAGATGGGGATTTGGAAGTTTTGGGTAGATGGCGAGAATATTTTGAGGAACTTTAAAATGTAGACGAAGAAAAGGAGGCGGTAATTTCATGCACTGGCCAGGGAGGTATATCATCTTTCAGGAGTGAAGAAGAGCAGGATGTGAGTGTGGGGGAGGTGCGTGAGGCATTACATAGAATGAAAGGGGGTAAAGCAGCTGGAACTGACGGGATCATAACAGAAATGCTAAAAGCAGGGGGGGACATAGTGTTGGAGTGGTTGGTATTTTTGTTTAATAAATGTATGAAAGAGGGGAAGGTACCTAGGTATTGGCAGAGAGCGTGTATAGTCCCTTTATATAAAGGGAAGGGGGTTCAAAAGAGATTGTAAAAATTATAGAAGAATAAGTTTACTGAGTCCCAGGTAGTAGGTTAGTAGGTTGGTAGACAGCAACCGCCCAGGGAGGTACTACCGTCCTGCAAAGTGAGTGTAAAATGAAAGCCTGTAATTGTTTTACATGATGGTAGGATTGCTGGTGTCCCTTTTTCTGTCTCATGAACATGCAAGATTTCAGGTATGTCTTGCTACTTCTACTTACACTTAGGTCACACTACACATACATGTACAAGCATATATATACACACCCCTGTTATTCTTGTTTATTTCCTCTTATCTCCATGGGGAAGTGGAACAGAATTCTTCCTCCGTAGGCCATGCGTGTTGTAAGAGGCGACTAAAATACCGGGAGCAAGGGGCTAGTAACCTCTTCTCCTGTATATATTACTAAATGTAAAAGGAGAAACTTTCGTTTTTCCTTCTGGGCCACCCCGCCTCGGTGGGATACGGCCGGTGTGTTGAAAGAAAGAAGTTTACTGAGTATGCCAGGAAAAGTGTATGGTAAGGTTATTATTGAAAGAATTAGAGGTAAGACAGAATGTAGAATTGCGGATGAGCAAGGAGGTTTTAGAGTGGGTAGGGGATGTGTAGATCAAGTGTTTACATTGAAGCATATATGTGAGCAGTATTTAGATAAAGGTAGGGAAGATTTTATTGCATTTATGGGTTTAGAAAAGGCATATGATAGAGTGGATAGGGGAGCAATGTGGCAGATGTTGCAAGTACATGTATATGGAATAGGTGGTAAGTTACTAAATGCTGTAAAGAGTTTTTATGAGGATAGTGAGGCTCAGGTTAGGGTGTGTAGAAGAGAGGGAGACTACTTCCCAGTAAAAGTAGGTCTTAGACAGGGATGTGTAATGTCACCATGGTTGTTTAATACATTTATAGATGGGGTTGTAAAAGAAGTAAATGCTAGAGTGTTCAGGAGAGGGGTGGGACTAAATTATGGGGAATCAAATATAAAATGGGAAGTGACACAGTTACTTTTTGCTGATGATACTGTGCTTATGGGAGATACTAAAGAAAAAATGCAAAGGTTAGTGGACGAATTTGGGAATGTGTGTAAAGGTAGAAGTTGAAAGTGAACATAGAAAAGAGTAAGGTGATGAGAGTATCAAATGATTTAGATAAAGAAAAATTTGATATCAAATTAGGGAGGAGGAGAATGGAAGAAGTGAATGTTTTCAGATATTTGGAAGTTGACGTGTCAGCGGATGGATTTATGAAGGATGAGGTTAATCATAGAACTGATGAAGGAAAAAAGGTGAGTGGTGCATTGAGGTATATGTGGAGGCAAAAAATATTATCTATGGAGGCAAAGAAGGGAATGTATGAAAGTATAGTAGTACCAACACTCTTATATGGGTGTGAAGCTTGGGTTGTAAATGCTACACTGAGGAGGCGGTTGGAGGCAGTGGAGATCTCCTGTCTAAGGGCAACGTGTGCTGTAAATATTATGCAGAAAATTCGTAGTGTGGAAATTAGGAGAAAGTGTGGAGTTAATAAAAGTATTAGTCAGAGAGCTGAAGAGGGTTTGTTGAGGTGGTTTGGTCATTTAGAGAGAATGGATCAAAGTAGAATGACATGAAGAGCGTGTAAATCTGTAGGGGAAGGAAGGCGGGGTAGGGGTCGTCCTCAAAAAGGTTGGAGGGAGGGGGTAAAGGTGTTGTGGGCGAGGGGTTTGGACTTCCAGCAAGCGTGCGTGAGCGTGTTAGATAGGAGTGAATGGAGACAAATGGTATTTGGGACCTGACGATCTGCTGGAGTGTGAGCAGGGTAATATTTAGTGAAGGGATTCAAAGAAACCGGTTATTTTATATAACCGGACTTGAGTCCTGGAAATGGGAAGTACAATGCCTGCACTCTAAAGGAGGGGTTTGGGATATTGGCAGTTTGGAGAGATATACTGTGTATTTTTATATGTATATACTTCTAAACTGTTGTATTCTGGGCACCTCTGCAAAAACAGTGATTATGTGTGAGTGAGGTGAAAGTGTTGAATGATGATGAAAGTATTTTCTTTTTGGGGATTTTCTCTTTGGAGTCACCCTGCCTCGGTGGGAGACGGCCGACTTGTTGAAAAAAAAAAAAAATACATATAATAATAATAATAGTATAATAATATAATAATAATACATATAATAATAATAATACATGTATAATAATAATGTACTATATAACAATAATTATAATAATAGACAGCTTCAAAAGGCCATCACTAGATGGCATTGATTAGCACAACAATGCGGGAGCGGTTGTGGCCGCCTCCACCTGTCACATAATGACATATTTTATTCATTCTAGAGTATATATCAGGTTTCTATGTTATTTATATTGTTTATTATGTCATATTAGATGAATTGTGATAGATAAATAAGCTGTAGAGTTGATATTAGGGAAATTATTGAAGTATTTTGTCGTGCCTGGAATTCCACTGGAATGGATTAATTGCAATTCAATTAATTTAAATCAGGAAAACTGACTCTGCAAACGAGCAAGTCCAGATGCGAGCAAGGTCACGGAAAGGATTAAACTCGTGAGTGGAAGTTCCACTGTATTATTCACATATGTGCTTCAATGTCAACACCTGATCTACACATCCCTTACCCATTCTAAAGCCTCCTTGTTCATCTGTAATCATGCTCTCTGTCTTACCTCTAATTCTTTCAATAATAACCCTACCATAAACTTTACCGTATACTCAGTAAACTTATTCCCCTATAATTTTTACAATCTCTTTCATCCCCCTTCCCTTTATATAAAGAAATTATACATGCTCTCTGCCAGTCCCTAGGTACCTTCCCCTTCTTCATACATTTATTAAACAAAAATACCAACCACTCAATCACTATATCTCCCCTTGCTTTTAACATTTCTGTCATGATCCCATCAGTTCCAGCTGCTTTATACCCTTTCATTCTACGTAATGCCTCACGCACCTTTCCCACACTCGCATCCTGCTCTTCTGCATTCCTAAAAGATGTTATACCTCTCTGGCCAGTGCATGAAATTACTGTCTCCCTTTCCTCATCAACATTTACAAGTTCCTCAAAATATTCCCACCAACTTCTCAATACCTCCAGCTCCCCATCTACTAACTCCCCTACTCTGTTTTTAATTGATAAATCCATTCATTTTCTAGGCTTTCTTAACTTATTTATCTCACTCCAAAATTTTTTCTTATGCTCAGCAAAATTTCTTGACAGTGCCTCTCCCACTCTATCATTTGCTCTCCTATTGCACTCGCCCACCTTTCTGCCAATAGTTGCTTATATCTCACCCTAACTTCCTCCTCCCTTAGTTTATAAACTTTCACCTCTGTTTTACTTACTATTGCCATTTTCCTTATGTCCTATCTACCTCTTACTCTAACTGTAGCTACAACTAGATAATGATCCGATATATCCGTTGCCCCTCTATAAACATGTACATCCTGAAGCCTACCCATCAACCTTTTATCAACCAATACATAATCTAACAAACTACTTTCATTATGTGCTATATCATATCTTGTATATTTATTTATCCTCTTTTTCATAAAATATTTATTACTTATTACCAAACCTCTTTTTACACATAGTTCAATTAAAGGCTCCCCATTTTCACTTACCCCTGGCACCTCAAATTTACCTACTACTTCTTCTACAATAATTTTACCCACTTTAGCACTGAGATCCCCAACCCCAAGTACTCTCTCACTTGATTCAAAACTCCCCACACACTCACTCATCTTTCCTAAAATTTCTCTCTCCTCTACACTCCTCTCTTCTCCTAAGTTACCTGTCTTTAAAGTTGTCAAGGGTGGGTATAGAAGGATCATGGTCACTAAGAGAGGTCTGCAAGTAATGCAGAAAACTAAGGGGCTCAATAGCTTGTTCTGCATCCACAACCTGTAACAGAATAAATCTTCTATGATACAATATATGTATGCAAAGTTTTATATACACTGTACCCAAAGCCTAACTTCTTAGTAGCTTAATTAAGAACTAATATTATATCACTATTTTTCACATAGCAATATGATGTTCAGTACATGAGGCACTGAATGGCAGATAAGAATAAGAATCAGATTCAAACAATGGAGGAAAACACTGTTAAATGTTGCTACTTATTCTAACTCGTATCTCTGGCTGTATGCAAGATGATGAAGACAACATCTACACATTTCCACAAACAGACAAAACTTTTAAGGAATTAATTCATACACTAACCCGGATTTTGGCCATGATGACACTTATTCTTTTCTGATGTACAACACTGAATATGCAGTATTTAAAAAATTATAGTCCAATCTTAGGTCAGCAATCAATGTATGAAGAATGAAAGTCACAATACTGTGGGTAGAAGTCACATGATGAGATGTATGAAATGCACGTCAAGTTTTGATATTGCTTTTAGTAATAATTATTCATATGATGGAACATCAAAATGACCCACCCACAAATGCAAACTATCAGTATGTACAATATCTTTTGAACATGATCTTGTTTTCAGAAACAGAAGTGAGAAAGCCCCACTGTTGCACAAATCACATTTTAAGAGATCAGCACCACAAGGATTTCATAAATACATCACAGTTAATATATCCAGTACTCTATGAAATAAAATGGTCCCAATATCATAAAAGTAACAAACTGTGTAAGGAGCACTGGGAATTGATTCACCAATCTCAATCACACAAGGCTACTACTACACCAACTAGACTATTAGCACACGAAGTTTATACACAATTCACTTTCTGAGTATTCCAAAATTCTCATTTCAATCATTTTCTAAAACTGAAATTTAATTAAAAGATGCTACTGATGTAAACTAATACTCACTATAGCCTTCATTATACATACCAATGCAATTTTTTATTTTTTTAACACATCAGCTGTTTCCCACTGAGGCAGGGTGACCCTAACTTTCATCATCATTCAACACTTTCACCATCATTCATACATAATCACTGTGTTTGCAGAGGTGCTTAGATATGACAGTTTAGATGTCCCTCCAAATTGCCAATATTCTAAACCCCTCCTTTAAAGTGCAGGCATTGTACTTCCCATTTCCAGGACTCAAGTCCAGCTAATTGGTTTCCCTGAATCCCTTCATGAAATATTACCCTGCTCACACTCCAACAGCAAATATAGGTAGTAAAAATATACTGCATTTGAAAAATATAAAAAGATGATTAATGGAGTTCAAAGCAGCAAAGTAGTTGAACACATGCATACCAAAAAAGAAAGAAGAAGAAGGATATGCCATATAACCCAAAATATTCAGAATTACTTTACTAGCTGTACTTCCCTTCCAAAATAAATAGGAAAAATTAAACAGAATTACATTAGGCTACCCTTGGCTATGTTCATGTGCTCAAGATGACATCTATAAATATTGTTTCGAATATGCCTAAGTTACAATCTCACCTGAACATGGGAACACAGCCATGTGGCCACACAAATAGGTAGACAACATAGATGGTAGCGTAGTCGGTCCAGCAGTTCCTTAACATGCTGGATGGGAAGTGCTCCTTGCTGCGCTGCACTCACCACTTCTCTCAGTGCTACGGCTGCTACCTGGCATACATCGCTCCATCTGACCATACTGTGGATAAAACATTATGCTTGACATAATGCAAACCAGTAACAAAGGTAATCATGCTCAACAGTATTTAATGGGAAAGTAATAATGTTAATAGACATAATAAAAGTAATTTTGAAAGAATACCCAAACACTGAGAATATACTAGTAATTAACCCTTTCACTGTGCAACCTCTGAAATAAAAGTGTTGTCAGTGTCACAATTTAAAAAAAAAAATATCTTCTGAAATAGTAGAGAACCTTCTTCTGAAGGGAATGACACCAAAAATGTGAAATTTCTTGAAAAACTTACAGAATTATGCAGATACAAAACTGACAATCTGGGCTCAATTTACACATTAGCAATTCTGCCTAATTTGAAGCCTATTTTAAGCCAATATCATTGTTTAGTTCAACCCAATTCTTAGCTATTTCACTAGTATGCCTTCTGCTCTATTGATTAAGCACAAAAAACTGCCCATTTAAATATCAGAACTACCCTGTAAAGTGCACAGAAGTTGGTAATTTGGCCAATTTTATACAAAATTCAACAAATTCTAATCTACAAACAAAAACCTAAAATAAATAATGTAGGCATTCCAGCCACTAAAACAATGTTTTCTCTGTTCATTAATTACATCATCCAGTCCTCTCCTATAAAACACTTGCCCTCCATTTTGAATCCATCACCACAGAAAAGTATGCCAATAATGTCACCTTCTTCTGAGTCAATTTTAAAAATAAAGTTTATCATTATCATCATTTATCAATGATTAGGCAAGGTTTAGACCATCCCAATAATTGAAGCAGACCTAGTAAAAACCCATAAAACAGATGAAGTGCAAACAGGAGGCCCTACTCTTCCTCAGGAAAATTGCCAAAAATTTAATATTGCTACCACTTTGAGGCATATTTCAAGCCACTTTCACTTTGAAACAAACCAGTATCATCACTTATTTCACTACTATGCCATCCATTTTATCGAATGATACCAAGAAGCAGCCAGTTAAACAAAAGCCATCTAAAAATGCCTCAGATTTGCTTCTTTCAACCAAACACAAGATCAGAGATTAGCTATTAACATCATTCACTGTGTGGGGACAGTTTATTTTAATAATGTGCACACCCACAAAGACCCATTCGCTCATGTCTAGGTGAAAATTTATCATTCAGAGCATATTTGAGTGCACTGTGATCGAGACAAAGGTCTACGTGAACAACAATGTTGTCAATAACATAGATCTATACAGGAGACAGTGAAAGGGTTAAGGTGAACGAAGGCACACTGACATATTCAGATACAGAGTGAAATATGAAAACTATTTCATATGGTTTGCAAAACAGCTGAAATATTGTGTGGATGGCTTACTACAGTATAAGGGCACTTACTTTCTTGTGGGGTACCTGAGCATGGAAGGATGAGAATAACTCGAAAGGTCTTCAAACCTTCTATTTCTATATGCAACAGTTTTTCAGTTTTTCTTGGCAATATTTCTAGACCCGTAAAACTGAGAAATGGTGTGCCAATAAAGACTACTATACAATATATATTAAACAGTTACAAAGCTCACTTGTACTTCATATCCAGCTCTGAAATATTGACTTCTCTAATGAATTCTTCTACTGCATTTTGGTCAGTGCGAATAGACATCAATGGAGCTTTGACACGACCTAGTTCTGGCATATTTTCCTTCATCCATTGCTCCACAAACGTCTCACACTTTTCTGATACCACAACCTGAAAGAAAAATGACTTAAAAATTATGTAAAATTCATTTTTTTACACATCAGCCATTTCCCACTGAGGCAGGGTAATCCAAAATGAAAGAAAAACCCAAAGAGAAAGAAAAAACTTTCATCATCATTCAACATTTTCACCATCATTCATACATAATCAATGTCTTTGCAGGGGTGCTCAGATATGACAGTTTAGATGTCACTCCAAACAGCCAATATCCCAAACCCCTCATTTAAAGTGCAGGCAGTGTATTTCCCACCTCCAGGACTCGAGTTTGGCTAACCAGTTTCCCTGAATCCTTTCACAAAATATTACCCTGCTCACACTCCAACAGCTTGTCAAGTCCCAAAAACCATTTGTCTCCATTCACTCCAATCTAACACACTCACACATGCCTGCTGCATGTCCAAGTCCCTTGCACACAGAGCCTCTTTTACCCCCTCCTTCCATCCTTTTCTAGGATAGCCCCTATCTCTCCTCCCTTCCACCACAGATTTATACACCCTCCAAGTCATCCTATTTAGCCTCATCATATCTAAATGACCAAACCACATAGGCACTATATAAAAACAAAATTAATTTGGTCCAAAAACAATCGAGGAAAAAATAAATCCAGAAATTCCATCCCAATTCACCTCATTTATGTTCCCTCCTTTACCAACAAGCCAGCCTGTTTTTTACTTGGGATGAAGCATACACATTATAAACTTATTATTACTTCTGCATCCTCCTTCCCCATACTCCTTATTCCTGACTTCACACTGGCACCAGCTAACTCTGTCTGATAGGGTCCTCACTTTCTTTTAATGATATAAGAATTAACCCTTTGACTGTCGCGGCCGTATATATACGTCTTACGAGGTACCGTGTTTGACATATATATACTCATAAATTCTAGCGGCTTCAAATCAAGCAGGAGAAAGCTGGTAGGCCCACATGCGAGAGAATGGGTCTGTGCGGTCAGTGTGCACCATATAAAAAAAATCCTGGAGCACACAGTGCATAATGAGAAAAAAAAACTCTGACCGTTTTTTTTAATTAAAATGCACACTTTGTGATCTATTTTCGTATAGTATTTATGGTTTTATTCTCGTTTTCTTGGTCTCATTTGATAGAATGGAAAATATATTATAGAAATAGAGGTGATTTTGATTGATTTTACTATAAAAAGAACCTAGAAATGGAGCTCAAAGTAGGCGAAATGTTTGATTTTTGCCAATGTTCAAAAGTAAAATGATGTCATTGTCCAATAAATGTCCAACTAGCCAATCTAATATGCAGTCATGAATGGGTTGATGTGATTTATACAATTATTACAGTATTGCAGTAGTCTGTATAATAGTAAGTCTTCTATTTTTTGTTTGAATAAAAATTCAAAATAGAAAGCAAGAGTAATATCAGAGGGGCCTGGAGACATGACTCATGGGCAAAGAAAATGTTATTTTAGAGCCAGGAATGTCTGCATTGTTCATTCTGGACCTTATTTTGAAATTGTCATATTTTTTAATTTTCGTGAAATTGGCCAAATTGCAAATTTCTGACCACATTTTTTTATTGGGTAGTTGAAATCGGTAAATTGGCAGTTTCTTGTACTCAATCGATAGAAAAAATGGAGTTCTAAAGAAATAACTATGAGTTTGGTCAACTGGAACAACGGAATTAGCCGAAAATAGGGCTCAAATTGGGCGAAATCACCAATTTGTAAATATCGCCGAGGCTGCTAACTTCGCGAGAGCATAATTCCATCAGTTTTCCATCAAATTTCGTTTTTTTGGTGTCATTACAATCGGGGAAAGATTCTCTATCATTTCATAAGAATTTTTTTTTTTTTTTTTTAAATTTTGCAACACCAGGATATACCTCAGGATTGGGGGTTGCGACAGTCAAGGGGTTAAGTTAAAAACCAGCCACAGGATTTCATTCAAAATATGTTTGTTGGATTTCCTACACACAAATCTACTTTCTCATAATTCGTTCTTATAATTGTAAACAGATACCATTTTAGTGATAATTAACGTTTTTTTTTTTTATCATGTCAACCATCTCCCACTGAGGCAAGGTGACCCAAAAAAAAAAAAAAATACTTTCACCATCACTCAACCCTTTCACCATCATTCACACATAATCACTGTCTTTGCAGATGCGCTCAGAAACGACAGTTTAGATGCCACTCCAAACAGCCAATATCCCAAGAGCAAAGTTATGCATCACAGAGTGAATTACTGATATAAATGGGGCCATAAATAGGTAGTAGGTTGGTAGACAGCAACCGCCCAGGGAGGTACTACCGTCCTGCCAAGTGAGTGTAAAACGAAAGCCTGTAATTGTTTTACATGATGGTAGGATTGCTGGTGTCCTTTTTTTTCTGTCTCATAAACATGCAAGATTTCAGGTATGTCTTGCTACTTCTACTTAAACTTAGGTCACACTACACATACATGTACAAGCATATATATGTATGTATATATACACATCCCTCTGGGTTTTCTTCTATTTTCTTTCTAGTTCTTGTTGTTGTTTATTTCCTCTTATCTCCATGGGGAAGTGGAACAGAATTCTTCCTCCGTAAGCCATGCGTGTTGTAAGAGGCGACTAAAATGCCAGGAGCAAGGGGCTAGTAACCCCTTCTCCCGTATAAATTACTAAATTTAAAAAGAGAAACTTTCGTTTTTCTTTTTGGGCCACCCTGCCTTGGTGGGATACGGCCGGTTTGTTGAAAAAAAAAAAAAAAAAAAAAATGGGGCCATCACATAAAAGTTAGTTCCCAAAAAGTGAAGCCATATAAGGTAAAGGAAACCTTAACATCTAAATACTACTGTACAGCATTAATCTTTCCTTACATATTTCATTTGTTTCCAAACTAAAAACAGTAAAATGCAAAGCATTTAACTCTTACATCAATGCCATATAGCTGCACAATGTGGCACAGCAGAAGAAAGGAGATATCAAACATAAGTGCACGGTTTATGGCCATTTTAGTACTCTCACCAGGCTGGGGATCCTGCAGAAAGTAAATGGCACTTGTTTAATACACCTCAGAAAAAATGGAAAGTGACATATTTCCCACCATTATATATTGATACACCTCAGAAAAGATGAAAAGTGACATATTCCCCACCATTATATACAGCAAATCCTCACTTAATGTTGTCAATAGGTTCTTGAAAACTGACTTGAAGCGAAATGACATACAACGAAACCAAGAGCTCTTCCAATATACACACCTCACTGTCCATCATCAAACCTCTTTAAAACTTCTAGTTTTGTTTCTAATGTCCCTCATCAGGGTTCACAGTGTACTTTTAGCACTCATTGCTACAGGATTAAATCAAGCAATGTACGTTTGCAAAGCAAAATTTGTAAGAACCACCTATCACTAAGCAATTCAGTAACAAACAATAACAAATATGGGGGGCCTGACTTTTTTATGGGGGGCTTGCTGAGAGCTTTTGTACTGCATTGTTTATTGTCATGCGTTTGTATTATTATTATACACGTTACGAAGTTTTATTTTACAATAATTTGTATTCATTGTATTTATTCAATTTTTTCTCATTGTTGTAACAAAATGATGTTATTCGAGGACCTGCTGTTATTTAAGTTTCTAAATGAACAAAATCTAAACTAAGGCATAACTCACCATACTTAGCTCATTAAATTTAACAAATTTCTGTGCAAATATGTGTAAGCTGCCTGAGGCTGCAGCTGCTGCCAATAGTAAGTCCCTACTCTTCCCGCTGATAAGAAGATTCATAACAGGCAACACTGAATCCTGTAATGTACAGTAATGTTTCACATCAACAGTAAGCACTGAATTTTTCATTAGAATTATTTAAGCATAATCATCATTACACTATTTCCCCACTTTCACAGGCAGGGAAGGATTAGTTCAGGAAAAAAATTGGTAACAGAAAAGAGGAATGTTATTGTAAATTTACTGTCATGGAAAATCATCTAACACAAGTCTTAATCATAAGATAACCCATTCAAAAAAAAAAAATTAGACAAATACCCAGAGCAACAAGAAACATCAGGTATAATAAATTTATGAGATATACTGGGTATGCAATACACAGAGTATCACAAATTTTTCAAAAACATAATATGCAGGTTGCAAAATGAATACTACATATAAAGAATATTAATGATGAAAAAATCAGCTTATTATAAGTCTATACATGTATAACCATGCTGTTTTAGCATACAAATTACTCTTGGCAATGTGCTAAATGCAAACATGAAGAAAGGAGTGCACATTCCATAAGACACATCAATATGAATCTCAAATACTCTTATACAGGTTCTTGCAATTTGTACTCTAAATTTCCTGTGATGAAATCCATAAAATTCAGTCAGCTCTTCCAGGCTTCATAAACATGTGAAAAACCCATGGACCATTTATATACCTCATTATGAAAAGTTATTACCCAAGATAAAAAAAAGTACCTGATTCTTATTACTGAGTGTCTTCAATATGCTGGTGACAGTGGGCTGTGCACGGAGGATGAGATTTGGACTTCCTGGATGAGAGCCTTGGGCATCACTGTTTTGGATGTTGGCAAGGACATTTGATTCTTGAACTCTGTGAGAGATGCATATTACATAGCTATTTACAATTATCCACTGTATTTGTGTGAGAGTACTGCCTCTCTAGGTTAAAACAAAATTAGTAATAAAATAAAAATTAGTAAATCTGGTCTGAGACCAAGTTGAGAGGCCAGTAATCTCCAGAAAAATTAACAAGCATGTAACAGATTAATGGATGCTTGATTAAAAGTTTGATGAACATTGATCAACAAAAGGCGAGAAACCACTTGGACCGAAAATTGAAGCTAAGTTAAAAAGATCTCTGTACATACTGTATTTTGGTCTCAGAGAGACTCTTCATTTTTTAGTCCAAGTGGTTTCTCAAGTTGACAGATATTTGAAGTATAAATATTTACCAACCTCACTGCTATGATAGCTTGAGCATCTCTTTCTGAAATGAGATTTGTTTTATTAACAAGCTCATTCAGTAGGTACTCCAAACAGTTGCAATTGATACGTGAGTCCACTTGGTCCAAAAGTAGTGTCAGCTGAGACAAATTTTGCACAGCTGTTAACAAGTCTTCAGATTCTCCACCGGTGGCTTCCCCTGCAAATGAGAGTATATACACCATTTAAAAAATTCAAAATTCTTATTTTTTTTGAAGCTGGCCATTAGTCTTAGCTGTCTCCTAATATAATGAAATTAAAAGTAATCTGTTTATCTATCTCTGACACCTTGTCAATATTGGAAAATTCCTCCACTGGAGTAGCTACAGCAGTAAAGTCAATGTGCAGCCATCCCATAAAGCATATCTAACTAAGATCTTGTACTATATACCTTCTGCAGTCATGAACACAATACAGTAAGATACCAATTAACAAGAGTAACACTAACAATAATATTGTAAAATGGGGCAATTGTTCCATCTGAGCGGTAATTGCTCCACCAACCTGAGTTGTTTCTGAAATATGTACCATATAAGGAATATTTTAAGTATTCCTTGTATATGTTTATACTTTTGATATGCCTACAATGTTTTGGGAGTTTTTCTACTTCCAGAGCTCAGCTCTGGTGTATATAGTATTAAGCCAAAGCAGTAAAAAAGAACACAAAAGCAATTATTTTTACCAATTTATATTGCACATTCCAAGTGAAGAAATGCATTTCATTATGCTTGAAGTACAATGTCAAAACACCTTGAAACACATCTAATACCATGAGAAACCAGTGTATATAATGTCAGACATTAAAAACAATCAAAAGGAACAAACAAAACAACATTATTTGACATCATTAAATTGTAAAATAATTTTTTTTTTCATTTACACCACTGTTTCTGAAGTGATAACTTTTCATAAACTTTCATTTTTCATTCTATTCTAATTAGAGAAATAAAACCCTTTCATACTGTAAGAATAAAGAATTAATCTTTTTTTAAAATTTGTTACACACAAAGGAAATTTTTATTTCTGAGTATACCACAGTTTAACCCTTTCAGGGTCCGTCCCGTAGATCTACGGCTTTACGTTCAGGGTCCAAACCGTAGATCTATGCCATGAGCTCAGCTCACTCTGATAAACTGTGAGTGGTACATTTGGGCCTAGATATGAGAGAATACAGCTATGTGGTATGTGTGCACCACATAAAACAGATCCTGCAGCACACTGTGTATAATGAGAGAAAAAAAAATGAAATCATGATCTTTCGATTAAAACAGCAACTTTGCAGTGTTTTTTCGTATGTTTTTTATAGTTGTATTTGCGATTTCTTGGTCTCATTTGATAGAATGGAAGACATATTACAGAAATAGAGATGATTTTGATTGGTTTTTGCACTGGAAATGGCTTGAAACTAAGCTCAAAGTAGCAGAAATGTTAAATTTTTGCCGATATTCAAGAGTAAACAAACGACCTCATACATCTAATACACGTCAGCTGGTGGGTCTAATATACATTCACAAATATGGTGATGATATTTATACAATTATTACAATATTGCATAACAGTAAATCTTCTATTTTTTGGTGTGAATAAAAATTCATTATGTGAATAAAAAATCAAAATGGAATTTATTTGTAAAGCCTCAAAACATAACTAATGAACAGAGGAAATGTTAGTTTAGTGCTAGGAATGCCTACATTGTTCATTCTGGACCCTATTTTGAAATTGGAATATTTTGAACTTTGTGTTAAATTGGCCAAATTAACAATTTCCGATCACTTTATTTTGTAGTTGAAACAGTTGACTTGGCGATTTCTTGTGCTCAATCGATAGAATAGAAGTAATACTAGTGAAATAGCTAAGAATTTGGTTGATTGAAATAATGTAATTGGCCTAAAATGGGAGTCAAAGTCGGCAAAATCGCCGATTCGTAAATATCGCTGAGACATCAAAATTCGCGAGAGCATAATTTCGTCAATTTTCCACCAAATTTCGTACTTTTTGTTTTATTACCTTCACAAAAAGATTCTCTACGATTTCATAAGAAAAAATAACAAATTTTTTTTTTGAAAATTCTTGGACACTGGTGCGTGACTCCAGATTTGGGCCTTGGACCCTGAAAGGGTTAATGGTTACAGGGCAATGTGAGGTCACCACGGGATGAGGAAGGGTTAAAGTGGTTTAGGCATGTAAGAATACAAGATGGAGGGAAAGGTTAATGAAGTTGTATAAAGCTAGGGTGGAAGGTAGGAGGGGAAAGAAGGGTCATCCCAGGAGTGGTTAGAAGAAGGGGGTGAAAGAGCCTTTGAATTTTAGAGGCTTGAGCATCCATCAGGCTTGCATGAGCATGTTAGATACGAGTGAATGGAGACAAGTGGTTTTTAACCCTTTGACTGTTTCAGGCCCCTTTCTGAAACTGTCATTCTATGTCGCTAAATTTTGAAAAAAAAAAAAAAAAAAAAAAAAAAAAAAAAAAATCTTATGAAACGATAGAGAATCTTTTCCCGATTGCAATGACACCAAAAGTTCGAAATTTGGTCGAAAACTCATGGAATTACGCTCCCGCGAAGTTAGCGGTCTCGGCGACATATGCGTATCGGCGATTTCGCCGACTTTGAGCCCTATTTTCAGCCAATTCCGTTGTTCCAGTTGACCAAACTCATAGCTATTTCTTTAGAACTCCATTTTATCTATCAGCTGAGTACAAGAAATCTCCCATTTACCAATTTGGACTACCCAATATTGTGGTCAGAAATTGGCAATTTGGCCAATTTCACGCAAACTAAAAAAGATGCCCATTTCAAAATAGGGTCCAGAATAAACAAGGTAGACATTCTTGGCACTAAAATAACATATCCTCTGTTCATTAGTCACATCTCTAGGCCCCTCTTATATTATTATTGATTTCTATTTTGATTTTTTATTCATACAAAAAAATACAAAATTTACTGTTATGCAGGCTACTGCATTATTGTAAAAATGATATAAATAATATCAGTGCACTAGTGAAAGAATATTAGACTCCCCAGTTGACGTGTATTGGACGTGTGGTGTGATTTGTTTACTCCTGAACATTGGTAAAAATCGAACATTTCCGCTACTTTGAGCTCAGTTTCAAGGTCATTTTCATCGTCAAAGTAATGAAAATCATCTCTATTTCTGTAATATATTTTCCATTTTATCACCTAAGACCATGAAAACGCAAATACATCGATAAATACTATATGAAAATACACCTCAAAGTCAGCGTTTTAATCCAAAAAAACAATCAGAGTTTTTTTTTTCTCATTACGCACTGTGTGCTGCAGGACTTTTTTTATGTGGTGCACACTGACCACACAGACCCATTCTCTCACATGTGGGCCTACCAGCTTTCTTCCGCTTGATTTGAAGCCGCTAGAATTATTGAGTATATAAACGTCAGAAACACTGGCTCGTAAGACATATATATACGACCAAAACAGTCAAAGGGTTAAATGTATGTGCTTTTGGAAAGTGAGTAAGGAAGCTTTTCTTAAGGGAATCAGGGAAACTGGTTAACCAGACTTCCCTGGAGATAGGAAGGGCAGTACCCTGCACTCTGAAGGAGGGGTGGGAATGTTGCAGTTGGAGGGCAATCTGATTAATGTCAGTACACTTCTAGAAAGACAGAATGAATGAATGATGGTGAATATGTTTTTTCTTTGGGTCACCTGCCTTGATGGGAGACAGCTGTTGAGTAAAAAAAATATATATATAATAATAATAATAATAATAATAATAATAATAATAATAATAATAATAATAATAATAACAATGCTAATAAAAACAATAATAAAAATGATATTTGTTGTTACAGCACTACACATTATATGGTATATTAAATCTTCAAGCATTGTTAACACACTTACTACTTGCCAATGAATACATTAAAATAAATCACACAAAGAACTTCACACACAACAGTAAATTATATACAAAATTTTTAAGCTGCTAAATTTTACACCAACGGAAACAAAATTATTAAAAATGAAAAAAAAAAGTTAAGAATATAAAGAACAGGACCTCTATATACCATAATTATATATGAAAACAATATCATTCTGCACATCTAACTGCTAAAACTTACCACTGAGAATAACATGAATAGTGTACAAGATGGTGGGAACTTTTATGAATGTGAAGCCGACCCATTTGAGCTCCTGATAGGGATGGAATTCTGGGCAACTTAAACCAAGAAAACTATTCTTCAGTAGTTCCAGATAAAGCTCCTTCGTGCTCAGTCCCTGAAAGGAAAGCAACAATAGGTTTAAGCCTATATTTGAACCTAGGTGGCTTCAAAGCAATCTATGAGAAAAAAAAATAATACAATAATAATAAACGAAGAGACAGACACTTAGATGCTCACAGATACATAAGTAAAATACAACCTAATCTACAGAAAAAAATGAGGCAGAAGACAAGAAAAGAATTGAATATTTTGGCCACCAATGAGAAGCCTCTTCAAGTAGAGAAGCATCATGTATCCTCCAGCTGTACTCACAGTATGATCTACCAATGCCAGACATAAGATCAAAGCATAATACACGTACAGTGGAACCTCGGTACTCGAACAGCTCCATACTCGAACAATTTGGTACTCGAACGCTTTGTTTGGTAAAAAAATCACTCGGTAGTCGGTCGTTTGCTCGGCACTCAACCAAACAAACAAGACCTTGCAGAACATGTGCATCAGTCTCCCCACAGCTGTCGCTCAGTCCAAAACTCCGCTGAACTTCACTGTAAACTATTCATGTTTCTTTGCATTTTTTATATTATTTTTATATTGTTTAGGTCACCATGGGGCCTAAGAAAATTAGTGATAACAGTCAACCAAAAAGAAAACTGGTTAGTGTGTTTGCCCTGATGTAAACACCGCCTCCGCCTCTCCATACAATATGCCTTTTATTAATTTCGGTGTCTTTATTGTGCTTCTGATACGAAGTTGGAATAAATGTGCTAGACAGATAAACCTTTATTACTAATATACTAGCATAATTACATAACATTGTATTTGAGCCACCGCTAGTATCCGGCTATCAAGACGACTCGTCAGATACTGAATGTTCCTTCTGTTGGCCCCTCCCTATCTCTCCTACAGCTTCTCCCTCTTTGGGCCCCTCTTATATTACGCTTGCTTTCCATTTTAAATTTTTATTCACACAAAAATAAGATTTACTGTCAGGCAGACTACTGCATTACTGAAAAAAATGGTACAAATAATATCAGTACATTTGTGAAACCCTATTAGACCCACCAGTTGATGTGCGTTGGATGCATGACATGTTATGTTTACTCTTGAACATAAGCAAAAATCGAACATTTCCGCTACTTTGAGCTCAATTTCAAGGTACTTTTATTCTGTCAACCATTCAAAATCATCTCTATTTCTGTAATATATCTCTCATTCTATGAAATGAGACCAAGAAAACAAGAATAAAATCATAAATACCATATGAAAATACACCGCAAAGTCGCTGTAAGTGTATTTTTGGGGGTCAGAAAAGGATTAGTCAAATTTACATTATAACTTATGGGAAAAATTTGTTCAATACTCGAACAGATCGGCACACTGGAATGAATTAAGTTTGAGTACCGAGGTCCCACTATACACTAATTTACAATGTATTCTAACAACTGTATGATACTTAATGCATGTCTGAATTTTTTTTTCTTTAACATGTTGGCAGTCTCCCACCAAGGCAGGGTGACCCAAAAAAGAATCACTTTCATCACCATTTACACCATCACTGTCTTGCCAGAGGCATGCAGATGTGGCACTTTAGATGTCCCTCTAAACAGCACATATCTTCCCTCCCCTTTCCCCTTCCTTTAGAGTGCAAAATAAATATTTTATCTTAAAAAGTTGAATAACTTGGAAAATGCTTACAGTGAAGTGGCTAAACTGACTTAACTGTTAAGATTCCACCTACTGTTGAATCTAAAAAATCCAGCTTCTGTTTTTAAACAAAAATTATGAAAGAAATTTTCAAGGGTAGAAAGACTGCAGGGAGCAAGGAGCTACTAAACCCTTCTCCTGTATTTTTTTTTTTTATTAACACATCGACTGTTTCCCACCAAGGCAGAGTGGCCCGAAAAAGAAAAACTTTCATCGTCATTCACTCCATCAATGTCTTGCCAGAGGCACACTTACTCTACAGTTATAAAACTGCAACATTAAATTTAAAAAGAGAAACTTTCATTTTTTTGGGGGGCCACCCTGCCTTGGTGGGATACAGCCGGTTTACTGAAAGAAGAAAGACTGCAAAGTCTGGCACATTTATCAACTCAATGAATTATTAAAAAAACCTTCTGTGCCTGCCTGATTTTCATTTTAAAGTCAATGATTTTATTTTAATGCCAAAAACTTCATACTACATTTAGAAAGATAATTTAACACTATTTTACTTCCATTCACATCTGACCTGCTAATGTTACCTTTCAAATTATGAGCTACTATAGTTGTGAATACTTCCTTTTGTATTTGTTAAACATGTACTGTATATGAATCAATTATTTTTTTTTTTTAGCACACTGGCTATCTCCATCCAAGATAAGGTGAAAAGATATATCTTTTAACTACTACACTATAGCTTTATTCAAGTGCCAAACAAATGCTTACCTGTGGAATTTCATCACGACATGCAACTGCAATACCGTAACTCCCAATAGATAATTTAAAAATAAAATCTTTAATGCAAAGTTCCAGGAACAAAACAGCATGAAGAAACACACAAAATAACCCATACCAGAAAACATAAAGCTAAGCAGGAGAGACAGAAATTACTGCTCCCAAAGTAATGAAGGAAAATATATACAGTACGACCAAATTTTAATATAAATGCAGTAAACTGCATTTGTTGATACATAATACCTAAGGTACTTAGGCTGAGAATGACCTTTTGCACTTCAGATCAACAAAACTAATACCTGGAGTTGCTGAAGGAGCAGCAACTGGTGGGCAAATGTTGAAGCATCACGAGTGGTGTGAGTCATTACTTCCAGCATTACAAGACTATGCATAGCATGACACAAAGGATTGGTTCTGCTGTCAAAGGTGTGCTTGTTGGTAATGCTATCCAAGGGCTGATAGTCACGCAGCTGGCTGTATCAATAAATGATGAAGCACAAATAATATGTGGATGATACTAATGTATGAAAAAATGAGTAAGCTGTTTTATATAACCAGTAGAACATGTAATATATGTCTGCATGAAACTCTAAATCTTGTATTTTCTAAAGAAACAATTCTAAAATTATGGTTATTCACTTACCAAACAGTTTTAATAAGGATGTCCTTGGTTTCAACAATGGCACCAGCACCTGCCAAGAGTGTCTCTACCTCTACCATTTTTTTCATGCAGCTCCCCCAAGTGGCTGGAAAAAAATCCATGAAATAGGAGATAATTGTGCAGTTATATTAAGAGAGTATTTAGTTTTTAACAGCAAAAGCAAATATTAAAATGACAGGACAAAATTGCTAAGGAGTAAGTTTTGCCAAGATGTGAGTCATGACAAACAACTGACAAGATTACAAAAAGAGGAAAGCATGATAATATAACACAGTATTTCAGAAAGAAAGAAATAAAACTGTAAGATAAAAAATTACTGACAACAGTAAAAAAATAAGAAAAATAATAACTGATAAATATGAAGAAAAAGTTAGGTTATAAATTTAACAGCACAATATAGATACACCAGCTGAAGATGCCATATGATATGGCACAATAGATAACAGGTATTTACAATGAAAATGGGTCCAATGTCTTTGTGAATAATGATTTTATGACCAGTACACATATAAGCTGAGAAAGACGTTTCTTACTTGGCTCTTCTCGGCGGCCAATTTCAAGCATGCATGTGAGGAAGGGACAGTTTAAGATGTCCACCATAATGGAAGCTGCCAGGCTAAGGTTGGTAGAGTGCTCTGGAGCATTGCGCAGATCTAGTAGCTGCTGAGTAGTCCAACCCATCACCTATCAGTTGAAGAACAGACTTAAAAAAATATGTCTGAATGAGGCCTCCTAGGAAATGAACTTCACAATGATAATAATAATAATAAGAACAATGCTAACAAAATAATAAATAATAATAGACTAACAGTAACATAATAATAGAATTAATAATAATAATAATTATATTATTATTACTATTCTCTATGGGGAAGTGGAAAGAAATCCTTCCTCCCTAAGTCATGCATGTCATAAGAGGAGAATAAAATGCTAGGAGCAAGGGGCTTGCAACCCTTTTGATATAAATTACTAAATGTTAACAGAAGGAAAAACTTGATAGATTTTTCTTCTTTTTTGGACTGCCCTGCCTTGGTGGAAGATAGCTGGTAAGTTGAAAAAAATTATTATTATTATTATTATTATTATTATTATTATTATTATTATTATATTATTCATAAATATTTATACTTAAACAGCTGCACATTACCATTAACCCTTTGAGTGTCGCAGGCCCGTTTCTGAAAATGTTATTCTATTATTTTTCTATTATTCTATTATTTTTCTATTATTTTACTGAGTGTTGTAAGCCTAAAAAAAATTTTTCCCATCAGTATTTACCGAGATATAGAGGCACAAAGTTGGCAGAAAATGAGCGGTGTATGGCAACAGCGGCAAATGCCGCCCACCCGGTATTCTCTTATTTATTCCAATTCAAAGGTTTCTTGTATTTTTCAATATTTTTCTTTTCTAAGTAACTTATGTGGCCTGTGAGACCAAAGTAAGGTGCACTGTTCAAATATACACTCATTGTTTACAACACAATAACTGAACAAACATTATCACTATTAGATTGTGTATAAAACTTGTTTACACAAACAATACAAAACATTGTTTATTACTATTGTTCCATAATATATATACATATGTACAGTCACTGAACACTTTCCTAGAACTGCTGCAGCTTATGGAACTCTTTGAAACATGGGTATATGATGACTGGTACTTGACACTCCTCACAAATAAAACAAGTGTCTCTGCGTGTTTGTGGGCGCTTTGTGGTATGTCCACATACAAAACATCTCTTCTGAGCACTTTTCCTGAAAGCAGGAGGAGGCAGTTGTATGGGGTAGTGATCACCAGGCCTCAAACGAGATGGCATGTGTTGGTAATTTCGTGGGCGCTGGTCTATTGCAGGTGTTGCTCCTTGGTACTTGACGATTATTTGTCTGATGACTGACAAACAAAATTTACCATATTCTGGCTTGTTGTTGATCCTCAACTTGTATATGTTATAAGCATTTAGCATGGAAATATCAAGAAGATGGAAAAAAAAATTTATATACCACTTATAACTCTTGCATACACAATCAGCAAACCCAATCTGCATGTCATATTTGTCCACTAAGTGCATATTGAGGTTGTAGTCCATGACAGCTGCAGGTTTTAGAATGGATTCATTGGTCTCTCTATTGTGCCTGCCAGTGTGTGCCATTTCATTTCGGGGAACTGGAGTCAATAATGTGACATCACGTTTGTCATGCCACCGAAATGCCATGATGTCATTGGCAGCAAAGGCCTGCACCTCACCTCTGCGAGTGCTAGCGTTGAACCTTGGCATATGCTTACAATTACCACGCACTGTGCCACACACGTCTGTCTTGTTCACTTGCAAGAAATCACCGAGTATGGGGCTTGTGTACCAGTTATCAATATAAAATATATGCCCCTTACCAAGATATGGTTCCATCATTGTTCGAACCACATCACCGAGATACCCAATAACTTCCTGGTATCTCTCAATGTATAACTGCCAGTGTACACAATGATATCCACAATGAGACCACTTTTGCAAACACACAGTACAAATAACTTTATACCAAAGCGTTTCCTCTTGCTTGGTATGTGCTACTTGAATGAGAGTCTTCCTTTGAATAAAATCAAAGACTCATCAATAACAAGCTTCCTGAAGGGATAAAAATACATGCAACACTTTTGTTTCAGGTACATAAGCACATTTCTGATCTTATATAACCTGTCGCTTCTGTCAGGCCTGGTTTTGTCTAAAAAGTGTAACATATGTAACAGTATCAAAAAACGATTTACTCCTATAATGTCACTAAACCCTGGGGTTGAAATCAGGCGTTCTGTTGACCAGTATGTGGTGACAGTGTGCTTATACACATGTGGCATAAGCATTATTGTGGCAAAGAACAGGTACATCTCTACCACAGTTGCTTCCTTCCACTGGTGTAGCCTTGATCTTGGCGAAAGAATTGTATTTGTCATGGTGTACTCATAGTATGTGTTGGTTTCCCTGACAATAATGTCCATCAGGGGTTCATCAAAGAATAACTGAAAACATTCCAATTCACTAGCATTGTTTCCAAGTGTACACAATGGCCGTGTTCCACTTTGTGTTTCATCAAAGTCATGGGGATTGGGAATAAAATCATCACCTTGCTGCCAATCCCAGATGTGGTCTGCTGGTGGGTTCTGGATATTGAAACATGTTGTGGTTGTGCAGGTTGTGGTTGTTGTGGGAGTGTGGGGCTGGGTGAGGCTGGTTGTAGTTGTGCAGAGTCAGCAGCATTGGTAGTAGCGTGGCCCGCTGCTGGTGCCACATGACTTATGCCACCATCACTATCACCACCACCACCTGCTGCCTCACTCACATCATTCATACCCATCGTAACAATATCGTCATCTTCACTATCAGGTCATGGTGTAGGGCCACGAGATGTGCTCCGAGATTTACTCCTTTCCCTTGGAACAGCATATGACACACTACCAGATCGCATGTTACGTCGTATATACTGCCGCTTCACTGGGGAATATTCACCCTCACTGTCGCAACTAGAACTGCTTTCAATAACTTTGAAATCGCTATCACTATCACTTACACTGCTCACATCTGAGTCTTGTACACGGGCAAATAGTTTCCTCTTTTGTCCTGGTACAGGTGAACGTGAACAAGCCGGCCCAGCACCAGAGGTGGAAGGTCGTGGGTCATCTGGGTTTTCATCACTAATTACGTTATCCTGGGCACTGTTTTCGGTCATACCCGCTTCAAAACCATGGAATTCACTTTCACTGACACTTCCATCGCTGTTAGAGCTATCACTTGGAAACAAAAGACCTCCAATCCGTCAAGGAGTGATGTACTTGTTATCATGAGGCATGGTGAAAATGGACTACCAAGATGGCGTTCCCACAATGCACCACTGAGTCCCAGATTTTTTCACAGGGTGCACACCCACCATTCAGACCCATTCTCTCTCATGTAGGCCTACCAGCTTTCTCCCGCTTGATTTGAAGCTGCTAGAATTTACGCATATAAATACATCTAAAACAGTGGCGCGTAAGACGTATATATACGACCGAAACAGTCAAAGAGTTAAATTCATAGAAAGCTAAAGAAAATTTTATGAATATAGAGTGAAGCATTTTCCTACACCTTCATAATAAGCACAATACAACAAAAACATTTCAGGTGATACTACATGTTAACAAAAATCTGTTACAGAAGAATCTGAATACTCTACACAGTAATTATATGCTCAAAATCCAGTTTTTCAGTAATCAAAATACATACAAATAAAAACTTCAGAGGGTTAACACCCATCATAAATGCCATATTTACTATGTTACATCAGCTAAAGCTACATAAAATTATACCATAGAACACTATACCTGCACTAGCCACTTGACACCTCCAACAACAGATGTAGCTAACATCAAACAATCCTCTGGCTTTCCCCTGCATGACACACTTTTCTGTAAAATGCCAACATGGTAATCAGTGACTAAAAAATTTTCATGATGCAAATTTATTTTGGGAAAAAAATAATTCATAGCAAGTGCTGAATTATTTCATCATTCATTACTCAGGCATGTTGCTAATTCAACCTTCCCCTCTCCCTTAGAAAAAATAAATAAATTTACATATGAGTGAAAGGCTTTCCATAACCATATTAAACTTGATGTAGGTTTACCAAACAAAATTTAATCTTTCATTCATTTGCATTAATGCGATATAATCATCAACCATTGTATGCTAATTAGCACAAAGTTTCCTCAATAAGTAAGAACAAGACTAACTTGCAGGTCCTGCATTCCCTCTATTACAGTAGTTTCTTCCCTTCAAATTAATTCCCATATTACAGTAGTTTATTCCCATATACAGCCTCTCCCCACTTAACGATGGAGTTCCATTCCTAAGACCATGTTGGTAAATAAATTTGTCGTTAAGTGAGGAGCATACTATAATGGTATGGGTTTGTGTCAACCATCTTTCAAATTCTTTTAATGTCAACTTTGCACCATTTTTAAGTCTTTATACAGTAGTGTGCTGTATACTGTAATAAAAAGAATAGACAAAATCAGCTCTAATATTCATACTGGTCAGAGAGCCTGTCACAAGTCCAAGTCGTTGGTAAACAAGTACGTCACTAAGAGAGGAGAGGCTGTATTTTTATTTTTTTTTTTTTCAACAAGTCGGCCGTCTCCCACCGAGGCAGGGTGACCAAAAAAAGAAAGAAAATCCCCAAAAAGAAAATACTTTCATCATCATTCAACACTTTCACCACACTCACACATTATCACTGCTTTTGCAGAGGTGCTCAGAATACAACAGTTTAGAAGCATATACGTATAAAGATACACAACATATCCCTCCAAACTGCCAATATCCCAAACCCCTCCTTTAAAGTGCAGGCATTGTACTTCCCATTTCCAGGATTCAAGTCAAGGAGAGGCTGTATATTATTACTAAATTTAAAAAGAAAAACTCTCGTTTTTCTTTTTGGGTCGCCTGGCTCGGTGGAATATTGCCAGTTTGTTGAAAAAAAAAAAAAGTATATACATCCTAGGTAGTAGGTTGGTAGACAGCAACCGCCCAGGGAGGTACTACTGTCCTGCCAAGTGAGTGTAAAATGAAAGCCTGTAATTGTTTTACATGATGGTAGGATTTCTGGTGTCCCTTTTTCTGTCTCATGAACATGCAAGATTTCAGGTACGTCTTGCTACTTCTACTTACACTTAGGTCACACTACACATACATGTACAAGCATATATATGCACACCCCTCTGGGTTTTCTTCTATTTTCTTTCTAGTTCTTATTCTTGTTTATTTCCTCTTATCTCCATGGGAAAGTGGAACAGAATTCTTCCTCCATAGGCTATGCGTGTTGTAAGAGGCGACTAAAATGCTGGATGCAAGGGGCTAGTAATCTCTTCTCCTGCATACATTACTAAATGTAAAAGGAGAAACTTTCGTTTTTCCTTTTGGGCCACCCCACCTCGGTGGGATACGGCCGGTGTGTTGAAAGAAGAAGTATATATGTATTAGAGAACAAGTTCTCACTATATTCTACGTTTCATAAATACAAAGTTCCTTACCAGCTAAGTGGTGCGTTACTAGCCTGTGAATTTTAGGAGTCATTTGCCATGGGTTCAAGCCCTACACTTTCTGTTATTTATTTCCTTACCATCATAGATTGCATCAAGATAAGAAGAGCATGTACACAGTGGGGCTTGTGCAGGCCATCATACTTGCTGATACTCTCAATCACTCCTCCATATGACACAATCTGAGAATAACATCAGCAGGATTAGTAGGTTATAAGCAAAATTAGTTTAAATACTCATGAAAAATTTTAATATGTACTGCATATTAAATTTAATTTACTGCATATAAAAATGCCTGTAGCTCCTCATGCTAAAAGGGCTTTTAAATATCTAAGTACCTGTACACACTTCTTTATATAGATACACTATACACAGATTTCAACTGAAGAAGTATATAATTTAAAGATAAGTCACATTAATGAATGATGTGCCATAACATATCACAACTGTGTTTCAAAAACATATACTGTACTACAAATAATTCATCCTCCATAAGCCATGCGTGTCGTAGGAGGCAACTAGACGCCAGGAGCAATGGACTAGTAACCCCTTCTGCTGTATAAATTACTAAAATGAAGAACTTTATCAAATTGGGATGTTTGAATGTGCGTGGATATAGTGCAGATGATAAGAAAGAATTGATTGCAAAGGTTATGAATGAAAGGAAGTTGGATGTCCTAGCCCTAAGCGAAACAAAGCTGAAGGCGGTAGAGGAGTTTCAGTGGGGTGAAATATGTAAACGGGATTAAGTCAGGAGTATCTGAGAGAGTTAGAGCTAAGGAAGGGGTAGCAATAATGTTAAAGGATCAGTTATGGAAAGAGAAGACAGAATATAAATGTATAAATTCAAGGATTATGTGGATTAAAATAAGGGTCAGATGTGAAAAGTGGGTCATAATAAGTGTGTATGCACCTGGAGAGAGGAGTGTAGAGGAGAGAGAGAGAGAGATTTTGAGAGATGTTAAGCGAGTGTGTAGAAACTTTTGAGCCAAGTGAAAAAGTAATTGTGGTAGGGGACCAAAATGCTAAAGTAGGAGAAGCATTTAGAGAGGGTGTGGTAGGTAAGTTTGGGGTGCCAGGTGTAAATGATAATGGGGAGCATATAACTGAGCTCTGTATAGAAAGGGGTTGGGTTATAGGTAACACATATTTTAAGAAAAGAGAATAAATAAGTAAACAAGATATGACGTAGGGCAAAATGACATTAGTTTGTTGGACTACATATTGGTAGATAAAAATTGTTGGGCAGACTTTAGGATGTACATGTTTATAGAGGGGCCACAGATATATCAGACCACTTTATAGTTGTAGCTACAGTGAGAGTAAAAGGTAGATGGGATACAAGGAAAATGGAAGCAGCAAGTAAGAGAGAAGTGAAGGTTTATAAACTAAAGGAGGAGGCAGTTAGGGTAAGATATAAACAACTGTTGGGCTAGTGAGAATACAGGCAATGGGGTAGAAGATGTATGGGGTAAGTTTAAGAATATAGTGTTAGAGTGTTCATCAGAAGTTTATGGTTACAATAAAGTGGGTGCAGGATGGAAGAAGAGTGATTGGTGGAATGATGATGTAAAGAGAGTAGTAAGAGAGAACAAGTTAGCATATGAAAGGTTTTTACAAAGTAGAAGTGATGCAAGGAGGGAGGAGTACATGGAGAGAAAAAGAGAGGTTAAAAGAGTGGTAAAGCAATGTAAAAAGAGAGCAAATAAGAGAGTGGGCAAGATGTTACCAACAAATTTTGCTGAAAATAAGAAAAAGTTTTGGAGTGAGATTAAGAAGTTGTGAAAGTCTAGGGAAAGAATGGATTTGTTACTTACAAATAAGAGAGGAGAGTTATTAAGTGGAGAATAAGAGGTATTGGGAAGATGGAGAGAATATTATGAGGAATTGTTAAATGTTGATGAAGATAAGGATGCTGTGATTTCATCTACAGGGCAAGGAGGAATAACATATTATAGGAGTGAGGAAGAATCAGTTGTGAGTGTGGGGAAAGTGTGTGGGGAAATGAGTAGAATGAAATGGGGTAAAGCAGCTGGGATTGATGGGATAAAGATTGAAATGTTAAAAGCAGGTGGGAATATAGTTCTGGAGTGGTTATTGTTTTTATTTAATAATTGTAAGGAAGGTGGTAAGGTACCTAGGGACTGGAAGAGAGCATGCGTAGTTCCTTTGTATAAAGGCAACAGGGACAAAAGAGAGAGTAAATATTATATGGGAATAAGAGTTGAGGGTGTGATAATGGGCATGATAAAAGAGAAAAAGGTAGCTTATGAGAGGTATTTACAAAGCAGAAGTGTTATAAGAAGAGTAGAGTATATGGAGAGTAAAAGAAAGGTGAAGAGACTGGGGAGAGAGTGCAAAACAAGAGCAGATGATAGAGTGGGAGAGGCACTGTCAAGAAATTTTAATGAAAATAAGAAAAAATTCTGGAGTGAGTTAAACAAGTTAAGAAAGCCTAGGGAACAAATGGATTTGTCAGTTAAAAACAGAGTAGGGGAGTTAGTAGATGGGGAGATGGAGGTATTGGGTAGATGGCGAGAATATTTTGAGGAACTTTTAAATGTCGACGAAGAAAGGGAGGCGGTAATTTCAAGCACTGGCCAGGGAGGTATACCGTCTTTTAGAAGTGAAGAAGAGCAGGATGTGAGTGTGGGGGAGGTGCGTGAGGCATTACGTAGAATGAAAGGGGGTAAAGCAGCTGGAACTGATGGGATCATGACAGAAATGTTAAAAGCAGGGGGGACATAATGTTGGAGTGGTTGGTATTTTTGTTTAATAAATGCATGAGAGGGGAAGGTACCTAGGGATTGGCAGAGATCATGTATTTTTTTTTTTTTTCAACAAGTCGGCCGTCTCCCACCGAGGCAGGGTGACCCAAAAAAAGAAAGAAAATCCCCAAAAAGAAAATACTTTCATCATCATTCAACACTTTCACCACACTCACACATTATCACTGTTTTTGCAGAGGTGCTCAGAATACAACAGTTTAGAAGCATATACGTATAAAGATACACAACATATCCCTCCAAACTGTAGTAGTAGTAGTAGTAGTAGGTTGGTAGACAGCAACCACCCAGGGAGGTACTACCGTCCTGCCAAGTGAGTGTAAAACGAAAGCCTGTAATTGTTTTACTTGATGGTAGGATTTGCTGGTGTCTTTTGTCTGTCTCATAAATATGCAAGATTACAGGCATGCCTTGCTACTTCTACTTACACTTAGGTCACACTACACATACATGTACACGTTTATTTATACACACTCATCTGAGTTTTCTTTGATTTTATCTTAATAGTTCTTGGTCTTATTACTTTTCCTTTTATATCCATGGGGAAGTGGAATAAGAATCTTTCCTCCGTAAGTCATGCGTGTTGTAAAAGTCAACTAAAATGCCGGGAACAATGGGCTAGTAACCCCTTTTCCTGTAAAGATTACTAAAAAGAATAAGAAGAGATCATGTATAGTTCCTTTATATAAAGGGATGGGGGACAAAAGAGACTGTAAAAATTATAGAGGAATAAGTTTACTGAGTATACCAGGAAAAGTGTACAGTAGGGTTATTATTGAAAGAATTAGAGGTAAGACAGAATGTAGAATTGCGGATGAGCAAGGAGGTTTTAGAGTGGGTAGGGGATGTGTAGATCAAGTGTTTACATTGAAGCATATATGTGAACAGTATTTAGATAAAGGTTGGGAAGTTTTTATTGCATTTATGGATTTAGAAAAGGCATATGATAGAGTGGATAGGGGAGCAATGTGGCAGATGTTGCAAGTATATGGAATAGGTGGTAAGTTACTAAATGCTCTAAAGAGTTTTTATGAGGATAGTGAGGCTCAGGTTAGGGTGTGAGGAAGAGAGGGAGACTTCCCGGTAAAAGTAGGTCTTAGACAGGGATGTGTAATGTCACCATGGTTAATATATTTATAGATGGGGTTGTAAAAGAAGTAAATGCTAGGGTGTTCAAGAGAGGGGTGGGATTAAATTATGGGGAATTAAATACAAAATGGGAAGTGACACAGTTACTTTTTGCTGATGATACTGTGCTTATGGGAGATTCTAAAGAAAAATTGCAAAGGTTAGTGGATGAATTTGAGAGTTTGTGTAAAGGTAGAAAGTTGAAAGTGAACGTAGAAAAGAGTAAGGTGATGAGGGCATCAAATGATTTCGATAAAGGAAAACTGGATATCAATTTGGGGAGGAGGAGTATGGAAGAAGTGAATGTTTTCAGATATTTGGGAGTTGACATGTCAGCGGATGGATTTATGAAGGATGAGGTTAATCATAGAATTGATGAAGAAAAAAAGGCGAGTGGTGCATTGAGGTATATGTGGAGGCAAAAAATGTTATCTATGGAGGCAAAGAAGGGAATGTATGAAAGTATAGTAGTACCAACACTCTTATATGGGTGTGAAGCTTGGGTTGTAAATACAGTGGACCCCCGCATACCGTTGGCATCACATAACGTTAAATCCGCATACCGTTACATTTTATCGCCAAGATTTTGCCTCGCATACCACTAAAAAACGCGCTCAACGCTGTTCATCCGAGACGCGTCTAATGTGTGCCCTTAGCCAGCCTCACATGTTCCGCCGGTGGCATTGTTTACCAGCCAGCCTCCGCGGTAACATCCAAGCATACAATCAGAACATTTCGTATTATTACAGTGTTTCTGGTGATTTTATCTGCAAAATAAGTGACCATGGGCCCCAAGAAAGCTTCTAGTGCCAACCCTACAGCAATAAGGGTGAGAATTACTATAGAGATGAAGAAAGAGATCATTGATAAGTATGAAAGTGGAGTGCGTGTCTCCGAGCTGGCCAGGTTGTATAGTAAACCCCAATCAACCATCGCTACTATTGTGGGCAACAAAAAGGCAATCAAGGAAGCTGTTCTTGCCAAAGGTTTAACTGTGTTTTCGAAACAGAGATCGCAAGTGATGGAAGATGTTGAGAGACTCTTATTGGTGTGGATAAATGAGAAACAGATAGCAGGAGATAGCATCTCTCAGTGATCATAAGTGAAAAGGCTAGGAAGTTGCATCAGGATTTAATTAAAAAAATGCCTGCAACTAGTGATGATGTTAGTGAATTTAAGGCCAGCAAAGGTTGGTTTGAGAGATTTAAGAGGCGTAGTGGCATACATAGTGTGATAAGGCATGGTGAGGCTGCCAGTTCGGACCACAA